AAGCATTATTTCAAAAAGAAAATGATGTGGACGACTGGCGGATATCATTATCCTTCAAAATTATTCAAGATTCTTCAAGATGGTTCAATGAAGATTTCAAATCCAGAACTTCAAATATAAATCAAGCTCAAGACAGATGTTCTCCTCAAGAGTTTTTTAGCGGGAGAAAAAAAAAATTCGAGAAAATTAAAAATTCCTTTTAATTCTTATCTTCTCTGTATCAAAATTTATAATTTGAATTTCAATCTCAATATGACTTTCAATTGTCATATCAATTTTGAAATTTTTCAATAAATTATATATTTTCATCAAAAGTCCGTTTGATTTCATTTTCAAGTTCTATTTCCTCCTACTTCCTTGTACCCTGGGACACATAATAAGTTAACTAATGTCCAAAATATACATATGATTTTTGCATTTTATTTATTTTTATAATTATTTGTTACATTTCAAAAAAAGGTGCTTGAATTCTTGTATCTTTAATTCAGAAATATGAAATTTTATCTAATGGGTTTCCTAATTTTTTACTGGATGTGGTTTGTATTTTTCAAATATGCACTATGCTTATATGACCTGGGTTTTTTGTTCATGCTAGATAGAGTTTAGACACACTCATTGATTGGAATGGTGGAATTAATGTTTGGTTGTTAACTTGTCCATTGCCCTTTTGCTCGTTGCAAAATAAACATGATTAGGTTTTGTTATACATCCAACAAGAAGTGTGATATATATTTTATTATATTGTGGGATCAACTCGTCCGAGCACATGAGCTTTAACAAATTTCAATTAGTTAAACTTCAATTTTAACCACACATTTCATGGACCCCCTAACTTTTCAACTATATATTTCAACAATTTTTTATTAAAAATTGCTAAAATTTTTAACCAAAACTTTTTCATACCGGTCCTACATATAACATACATTGGGTTATTGTAATGATATGTATTAATGATGGTAGTTCAACCGATATTTGTGTAATTGTGGATTATTTATGACCATGCGTGTCTTGTGAAACTAGAAGAAAAGGTAGCTAGTAACTTTTCTCCACCATTTTTATCTTTACATCGCACAATCAATAATCGTGAACTAAGGATCAATATCCTACTAAATTGCAAGGAAATTTCTATAATGTTAGGGTGCGTTTGATTTGCTGTTTTCAATTTTGCACAACGCTGAAAACGTGCTTGATATGGTATTTTTAAACATGCACTTTCGAAAATGAGATCAAATTTATAATAGAAAACTCAAAACACATTTTTGACAAGCAAGCGTTTAAATAAAATTTTATTTAAATAAATTTAAGAAATTAAAATTTTTTAAAATAAAATTTTAAATTTATAAAAACTTTGGAAAAAAATCTAAAATTCTAAAAAATAAAAATATTAAATTATAAAAATTTCTTTAAAAAATTAAAAATTAAAAAGTAAGTTTTACATAAAAATTCTAAAAATATATGTAAATGAACATAGATAAAACTCAAAATAGACTCTTAAAACAGAAAGCTAAAAATGAATTTAAAATTCAAAATTGAAATACAAATTAAATGGACCCTTAGAATTTCTATTTTATGGTGTGTTTGAGCCATATTATTTTGGAAGAATGTATTTTGGAATAATAAATTGATGGAGAATGTGTGGTTGAAAAATAAGGAAAAATTATTGATGTAATGAAAAATATTATTTTCTTGAAAAATGTGTGTTTA